TGACACTTCGGCGTCCCCCTAGTCACGTGCTGTCATTCACAAAATACGTCTCCACACGATATATATATATATATATATATTATGGAGATTATTAATACAAAGATCTCTGTCAATTCCAAATCTTGAAACTATTGTTATTGTATGATGGCCATCAATTGATTATCCGGTCTTTTAAGACCAAATGTATCATTGCTATCGGATGTACCACGTATGACTTATATAATTATTGATTCATTGAATTGATTGAATCGAACGATTGATCGACGAATGATATTTATTGAAAAAATTCTAATGCTAATCGATTGTTTCAAAGACTGAAGGACATCATTCTTAACTTCTTTACACATTTGTTATTCACTGGGCTATAGCTCATAGTTTGCTATAACATGTAGGTGGCTAGACACCGGATCAAACCTAGAAGCGCCGACCTGAACTCATGTTTTGTCAAGCTAGCCATTGTGCCTCATAACGAGGTTCCGACTTGCACGAGTCAAGGCTTTTTGGGTGATTCAAATCCACCATTTTGTCTTTGCCAAATGTAAAGAATGTTTAAGACCTTTGCTTATACAGTTTTTAATGATAGGATTATGTCCTTAGCTTGCATACTATCTTGTATATGTATTTTTGGTATAAGTGGTTATGAATATGGCTATGTATATGAACGTTTATTTCCATTCAGGTCCTCACAGCTCATTGGATGATGTATATTGGCTTCCACCAACCTCTTTATATTGTATTATTGTCATTATTATTAAATAGGCCTTCGGTAATCACGAAAAACTGGCCAGTTACGACGCTAAACCTATAGGGGCGAGTTTGGGTCGTGACAATTTCCCCAAAGGATAAAGGGAACATCTTGCATAACAGCTGCTCGTTCCTACTATACACAGCCATTGAATTTAAATATAAGTCGACATGAAAGTTCGGTTCAGACTTACCGTCATAAACTTGGAATATCGGCATATGAAACCTCTTCGGGGCCTCGAACTGTCACGACCCAAACCCGGCCCTATGGGTTTAGCACCGTAACCGGCCAGTAATCCGAGATTACCGAAGGCCTGCTTAACAGTAGTACAGTAAA